AGCGCGGCTGCGTGAAGGGCACGACCACGTCTGGCAGCCGCCGAGTCCAAACCGACAGCGCACGCACCAACTCACGCTGGCCGGAGCAATAACAGGGTTTATAAATAACAGAGCAATGAATGGAAAAAATCAACTGCCAATAAAACAAAAATAAGCAAATTTCTAGTTCATCTTGCAAATGCCACTTGGATGCTATTTGAATTTTACCCCGCGGTGTTCAGACACCGATAAACATTGGCTGATGGAAGGAGAGGCCGGGATTATCAGCTGTGATCAGTCTCTTTTGCAATTCAGTACACAAAGAGCCCACGGGCTGAGGAGACCTGGCTGGCCCAGGGGCTTCCTCATTGCCTGTTGAGAAGTTTAGCTGATGCCAAGAGACAAAGGGTACAGTTCACTATTTCAACTTCGTGACACAAAACTCTGTTCATCATTATCAAAAAATGAAAACCAATAAAAACTTAAAAACTATCTCGAGTGCTTTGCATTTATAGAATCATAGAACGGTTTGGGTGGGAAGGGACCTCAAAGATCATCCAGTTCCAACCCCCCTGCCATGGGCAGGGACACCTTCCACTACACCAGGTTGCTCAAAGCCTCATCCAACCTGGCCTTGAACACCTCCAGGGATGGGGCAGCCACAGCTTCTCTGGGCAACCTGTCCAGTACCTCATCACCCTCAATGTAAAAAATTTCTTCCTTATATCTAATTTAAATCTCCCCTCTTTCAGTTTAAAGCCATTGCCCCGTGTCCTGTCACTACACACCCTTGTCCAAAGCCCCTCTCCAGCTTTCCTGGAGCCCCTTTAGGTACTGGAAGGTGCTGGAAGGTCTCCCTGGAGCCTTCTCTTCTCCAGGCTGAACAGCCCCAACTCTCTCAGCCTGGCTCCAGAGCAGAGGTGCTCCAGCCCTCGCATCATCTCCGTGGCCTCCTCTGGCCCTGCTCCAACAGCTCCATGTCCTTCTGATGTTGGGGCCCCAGAGCTGAACACGACACTGCAGGGGGGTCTCAGGAGAGCAGAGCAGAGGGGCAGAATCCCCTCCCTCGCCCTGCTGCCCACGCTGCTCTGGAAACATGCACTAATCCCCTCTTGCAAGCACAAACCCACGCCATGCTATACCATCAAGACTGATCCACTTTACAAGCTATAGCAGTTCTTTCTAAAAAATGGTTGATTACTGCACGTAACTCTCAAAATTCAGAACAGCTTAGGTAAGGGACTGTGGTACTAACAGTTTCCCATGAACTATAAGCATTTTAGGGCGTGAAAATTGCTCAGCTGCAGCCAGCAAGGCAGTATCTGTTCCCCAAACACAGCTAACGGCATGTGGGCAGTGCCTGGCACAGCGGGTAAGACATCAATCACGGGAATAACGACTTGCACACGAACTGCTTGAAGGCTGCTACCTGAGCAACCTCTGCATCGATGAAGTCCATGCTTGGTTATGATAAAAATAGAGTCTAGTCTGGGGTTTCATCAGAGACTAAAAGGTCTCCCCAGGAAAGGTCGTAAGCAGCACAGAGGGGTAATTAGTGAGATGAGTTTTACCTCCTTTAACTTCAGATGCCCACGTATGATCTCATTCTCTGCATTTCCTTCTTAGTTAATGGAGCCCAGACGGCACGTACCTCCTCCCCGGGAACGCTGCCTGCACCCTGGCCTCATACAGCAAAACGATTTTCTAAATAGTTCAGTCGCGGAAAACCAAACCGCTGGCAGCCACGTTTAGCCAGACGAATCCCAACCTCGCCGCACACCGGGCCAGCGGACAATTACCACACACACAAAAATGACTCTGAATGACTTATTACCGTTTAGAAAAGCCACTGGCATTGGTGATGGTGGCAAGTTCTGTGAAAACTTCGGCTCAAGGCTAAACCTTAGCCAAAATGCGAACACTCAGACATTTTTAGAATGGGAAAAGAGTAAAATAAAGTCGTTGCTCTACTGCACGAAGCAAGGGTGCTCTTACTTTAAAGGTACTGCACAATCGTAGCCATTTCAAACACAATTTCAAATACATCGCTGAGTTGGAGAAATCGGAGGAAAGCAATGGGGATGGCCCGAAACAGGGAATAACTTCCCTAAACGGACTCTTGGTAAATTGATGGGGGGTAAACAGAGAGGTCTATAAAATCATAGATGGTGTAGAGGAGATGAGGGGGAAAACTGCTGGTTCTCAAAATAAAAACCAGGGAGCACTACAGGAAATGAATGAGCATCAGTTTCAAACGGAAGAAAAAGGAAGTTTGCTTTCACTACACGGTTCAGCTGGACTCAAGCACGACACTACGAATGGCAAAAGCTCAACAAGGTTGAAAAGCAAGAGGACAAGTTAAGAGAGGTCAGATTCATCAGCAAGTTTTAGATATCTCCTAAAATCCACACTCAGGACGCTGAACCACTAGCGACTGAATGGCTGAAAACTCCTCAGAACAGATGTTACCCTGCCAAGCAGTGCTGACAATTTTTTGAGCAGCTCCACCCAAACATACCCATTTTTTCTCTGCTTTCTCCAAAAGCCGCTACGAGCTCCACCTCACTGCCTTCAAACCTGACCCACTGGAGAACCAGTTACCGTAAAACAACCACAACCTCTGCTGTATCAATTACTGACAGAAAACGAAGCGTCAGGAGTCCCTTGGACTTTTGAAAGTTTCAGGCAACTTGCTCAGCAAACAAGTGGGAAGCCTACAAGCCAGAAATGTTTTGCCCCACAGGAGTACGACGAGCCATCAAGCCACGTCGAAAAAGCCGCCCTCGTCCCACTACCCTGCGGCGACAGCGCACCGCGCGGTACCACTGCGTTTATTCCTGCTATGGTGAGATGCGCTGCCAAAGCGCCCCTGTTTTCAGAAACCTTCACTTTTTTCATCCTTAATTTCCACCACAGCCATTGCAAAGGCAACGTGCCATGTGTTCAGTCCACAGAAGATCAGGATTCAAGCTGAACTTCCAAAAACTGGGCGTAACAAGAGAGTAACTACCAAGTAAGGAGGAACTTGGCTTTTCAACAGCTTTGGGGTCAGACTCGTTAACAGAGCAGTTCTAGGCCCAGATCTTCCATCAACAGAGATCCAATACCGGCACGTCACTCACGTCTGGATCCATCCTGCCCGTTTTTAGGCAATAAAAGTGCCCCATTTCCGAGCCCGAGATCTCTCTATACCGACGGGGGGATTCCCATGTAGAGAGGTGTGTGTCTCACCTTGCTGCCCTCTAGAAGTGGGATAACCCCAGATTTTACCTCTCTATCACAAAGATTTTATCTGAATAAAGGATACAATCATGCGGAGAACTACGAGACTCAAAGATCAAAAGAGGAAGTAGTTCTAAACGACTACTTTTTCAAGCATTATGAGGTTCATAGAATCACACAATAGTTTGGGTTGGAAGGGACCTCAAAGACCAACACCCTGCCATGGGCAGGGACACCTTCCACTACACCAGGTTGCTCAAAGCCTCATCCAACCTGGCCTTGAACACTTCCAGGGATGGGGCAGCCACAGCTTCTCTGGGCAACCTGTGCCAGTGCCTCAGCACCCTCAGAGGGAAGAATTTCTTCCTTAGATCTAATCTAAATCTCCCCTCTTTCAGTTTAAAGCCATTTCCCCGTGTCCTGTCACTACACACCCTTGTAAAAAGTCCCTCTCCAGCTTTCCTGTAGGCCCCCTTTACGTACTGGAAGGCTGCAATAAGATTGATTCTTCTAGCACAGTACTCACATCCTAACGGGCACCACATTAGCGCATTGACTACTGAAGACAAACTAGAATGTAAAAGAATTACATAGACTTTGCTACAAGAAAATGGAGTCTCAACATGTCAGAGGAGTCTCAAATTACAGAATTCCAGCAAATCAGCCAGCCCTAGGCAAGGGGATTTGAGCAGAACTTGAACTATGCTATAACCAATATTGGTGGATGCCAAAGTGCCTTTGCCAGTCACCCACCAGCTGTTCACTCAACTCTGGACCCTCGTCTATTTTTATGCGTGTGTTTTGGGGCATCAACAATTCTTGACATGTAATGGGAGAAAACACAATTCCCCAGGTTTACAAGCATAAACGTAACGTCCATGTTGATTGGAGTTGCTTCCAATTCACGCCAAGTGACGTGGAAATCAGGAATGCATCTGGGATTATATCAAACAAGGAGATTATTCCCCCCTTTCTCCCATCAACTTTCATAAATCGGCAAAAGCCTCCAGCATCCCGGAGAGGAAAGGGGCTGGGGGCCTCTGGGAGCAGTGGAAGGGCATCCACAAGAGTGGTGGAGAGCATCTCGCTAAGCCAGACACCTCGTAACAGTGCACAAATTGTACGTCCAGCTTAGTGCTGGGATGCTGCAATGGTCTTTCACCCTTTGAGCCGATTGTTAGCTTTTCACAGGAAGCAGCAGGGAAGCACATGTGAAACCTCTGTGGGGCTGGTGAGTGTCTCCATGCCTTGTGTGACTCTGCATGTAGATGAAGCAGCTTCGGCTTTCGGAGCTGCTGCTGCTTAGTTCTCAGAGAAGTCCTTTTCTCCCGCTTGGCTCCCTGCTGCGACGGTCCTTTTCAGTCTTTCTATCCCCCCCAGCCTCTTCTCCTGCACAACACAGGGGAAACTTGATTGAAATAAAGACCCAAGAGAACATGGTTTATTTTCTTCTCTTCAATCCATTTCAGAAAAGCTTTTTAATTGGTTTAAAAAAAAGATGCTAAACAAAATGCAATGGTTTTTAGTCTTCTTGAACCAGCAGTAATAGATACCACTATTTAAGCACTGCTGAGTGGAACTAGCAAGCATGAGCTGTGCCTGGGAATTTAAAGCAAACTCAGAGAAACATCTCGTTTCTTTAAAGTTGAACGTGTTTACTCTCAAAACTTCTGCAAAGTACAAACAAGCCAGAAAGCCCAAAAAACCAGAAGCTTTGAGTATTTGCCCTTCCCACACCACGTTACAACAACAGAGCCTCGATAGGAAGAGGGGAGTCTGGGAGGCAGCTCGCATAAACCAATTCAACAGAGACACCTACCTCAATGCATAATTAATAAGATTTCATCCCAGAAATGCTCTTCTCACACACGCAGCCTGCAGTAACTGCAGGAAGCTGCGTGCACACTAAGTACACCCCCTGCAAGTGATGTGGCAACACCGTGTGAATACATAATCCGGGCCACAAA